GATAATGGCTGGGGGTTGGTGGGGGGGTGGGGGTGGGGGAGAGGGATAATGGCTGGGGGTTGGTGGGGTGGGGTGGGGGTGGGGGAGAGGGATAATGGCTGGGGGTTGGTGGGGTGGGGTTGGTGGGGTGGAGGTGGGGGAGAGGGATAATGGCTGGGGGTTGGTGGGGTGGGGGTGGGGAAGAGGAATTATCAGCACACCTGTAACAACCCCACTTTGCCAGATGTATATTTACCTCTTTTTCCTTTCTTCTTGCAGCCCTCTTTTCATCTGAAAGCGCCACTTTCACCCTCAGTCTAAACGGTCCAATTCTGAACTGGTCAAACTTCCTTATGGCCAACTCAGCTTCCCTCACACTCCCATATTTCACAAAGCTTGGGGAAAAAATAATTCATATATATTTACTTGGTCAGAAAAAGAAGTTTTTACATATGTTTGATTTAGTACATCCATCAATTACTCCCATCATTATTTATTTAAATACTTATATGTTACCAAATTTTTACTTAAAATCATAATATATATTTCATCTCTTTTTCAGTTCCCAGAATAAAACAGTCTGTCACACCCACTGGGTCAGTAAACTTCCTCAGGTAAGACAGCACTTATTAAATTCTGCATGATGTTATACAACAAGTTCTTCATGAACAAACATATAGCCATCAACAGAGTTCCAGTTTCTAGTGCTATCTATAGAGTTCCAAGTTTCGAGAAGTATCTACAGAGTTCCACTTCCTATAGCTTTCTATAGAGTTCTGGTTTCTACAGTTATCTATAGGGTTCCAGTTTCTACAGCTATCTACAGAGTTCCAAGTTCTACAACTATATACCGAGTTCCAGATTTTATAGCTTTTTATAGAGTTCTGGTTTCTACAGCTATCTATAAAGTTCTATATCAAACCCTACCCAAATGTGTCCCCTCTCTGAGGCTGTTTAGATTTCACTTTGTTAGCTTGCAAGACTTTCAGTTGTCCATCGTCAGAGAAAAGATTCCTTAGTCCTTCCTGGAATTATATCTAGATATTATCAAAGGAATAAAGACACATAATGGTACATGTATACTATAGTTAAAGGGATAATAACTCTTCATTTTGGACAAAAAATGAATTTTCCTGGAGTAAACAACAATTTTCCCAATTTACTTACCAATGGTTAATGAATCCATTTTTACATTCAAAGTTAGTCCCTGGTTTTTTTCTAAAAAGTTTGGTTTTTTATTAAAATCTCTTAAGAGATTATAACAGAGCATAGCCATCAATGGAGGACACGTGATCTGAAGACAAGCTCAGATATCAGAATAATAGCTATAACTGCTGTTTTTGTCGTAAAACGGAATATATTATATTTCTATGAGTTATTCACTATGTTTTTATTGTGAAATATAGATCTCATACGAAGAGTTATTATCCCTTTAACATCTGTCAAAAACATATCAATTCACTAAAGCTATTTTTCCATTTTCATAAAGTGAACAATGAAGAGTGAACTATTTCAGTAATAATATCACCATCATACAACTGTGCCATGTAGACAGAGTATCAGTAATAATATCACCATCATACAACTGTGCCATGTAGACAGAGTATCAGTAATAATATCACCATCATACAACTGTGCCATGTAGACAGAGTATCAGTGATAATATCACCACCATACAACTGTGCCATGTAGACAGAGTACTGATCTATCCAAACCCAGTACCTCATTCAGTTCATTAGGTATGCCCACTACATACAGCTGGACTGTCCCATCATCTCGCTCTGTTCTGGAAAACAATGTGAAACAATGTGGAACCTTATATCAATACATGTGGACTTTTGTTTTAGTATTTGAGACACAATATAGTTAAACAGTTTAATGACAACACAACAAAACATACAAAGGTCAAACCCAGTGTTTTTGCCATTGTCATGAAGAGGAAGACTTGCAATAAAATAATATGGTTATTGAGAATCCATAGAAAATAGAATCAAAGAAAAAAATTATAATTTGGAAAACTGAATCAAAGAAGACGTAATTACAGTGTTGAGGGTGGAGGCAGGTTTCTACCAGGTCCTGTATCATAACTGTTAAAACTGGGGTCTTGATAATCTTCTTCCATGGGGTCCCAGCCATCAAAGGGACAACTGAAAAATAATCAACACAGGGCTCGGCATAAGGCACCGCCCGATTGTCCGGGACAACAAAATATTCTGATCGGACAAGTAAATTTCAAAGTTACCCGCCCGACGGGACAAGTGGTTTAAAAATAAGCTTATACTCTGTAAACAAGAGAAAACTGGTTATGACACATATTAAATGTAACTAAGAATGAAATAAATTAATTTCACTTAAAAAAGCGTTGAAATTGAACCACAAAGGTTGCGTTATATTACTTGCGTATCCGTGTACTCTACGCATTCCGACGTCTATGAATGATCGGTGTGCATTTCTCACCCACTCGCAATCCGGTCTCAACCGGGTCACAATCGATACANTGATAAATTTTAATATTCTTACTGTATAACATTTCTATAAAAACATGGTGTCTACAGATATGTAAACATTTCTACACTTTATAAACATTTTTCATGAAAGCACCTAGGTTACAAACAAGTAAATATGGCTTACCTCTGTTGTGTGCCAGCAGTAGCCATGGTTTCTGCCGTGATATTTTCCTCTGCTTAAGTTCTCTCACAATCACTGTCTATATTTTCAAATGAGGGAAAATAATGGCCCTAAAAATAAACACAGACACAGATCAATTCCCGTGAAATCACATATATACTACTACACTGTATATATACACCATTATCACCATCACTTTTTATTACCTTATTCAGGAATGCCTTCCCCATTTGAAATCCTATGTCTCAATAAAAAAGTTATAAGATGAAATAGTTTCTGTGTTCTTTAAATGAATGCTATCATGTGTGAGAACCATGTTACGGGTAGAACAACTCTCAAGTGGAATGGAAACTTCAGCAACTGCTTTATTTTCTATTATATGTGTGCTAAGATACATACAACACATTGCTACTAGGATATGACCTTAAGGTCAACAGCTGTCAATCTTATATGGCGTATACTGTTACTTTGAGGATACAGTTACTTGACAACACCACACACTTGAACTATAATGCTTGTCTGTATCCATAGTAACCGAATACTTGAACTATTAGTTGCAAGAAACCATTATATAAAAATTTACATATATAGGTTCAAAGTGTCTTGCCTATCATTATATAAAAATTTACATATATAGGTTCAAAGTGATTTGCCTGTCATTATTGAAAATTCTGCATGTATAGGAGTATGCTTGCTAAAAAATATTTATACCCCATTTCCATAGATTTTAGATCGATCTATCCCTGTGGGGAGTCTCACTAGATTACTGTCAGCTAAGCCGGCTTAAGCGTCTGTCCCACCTACTGAAAGCTGTAAGGGGGTAATTAACTTACGTGCGCGCTCGGCTGACTGCAATTTAGCGTCAACCCCTAGGGAGTTAGGTCCATCTAAATCTTAATCTCTGGATCCATCTAAATCTCTGGGAATACACCCCAAATATACGTCTAAAAAAAGATAAAACATATTTTTCGACGATATTAGGGTGCATTCCCAGAGATTTAGATAAATAATTAAGCCATTTGATAATTTCTAAGAAAAAATTGTTGATTAACATTCTTCTTTCTTAGGGACTTTTCCCACGGATATTTGGATCGATCTATCTCCCTGGGGAGTCTCACTTAAGTGCTATCAATTTAGTGAGACTCCCCAGGGAGTTAGACCAATCCAGATGGATCGATCTAGGCATGGGAACCCAGTCTTTGGGCGCATTCCCATAGATTTTAGATCAATCTATCTCCGTGGGGAGTCTCACTAGATTACTGTCAGATAATCCGGGAATCTGGCTTAAATGTCCGTCCCGCTTCTACAAGCTGTAAGGGGGTAATTAACTTTCATGCCCACTCGGCTAACAGCTATTTAGGTCGATCTTGTTGGATTGATCTAATCTCTGGGAATGGGGTCTTAGAGTAGTATGGCTATATCTTGAGTTGTTTTATGTGGATTTTAGGTTCATTAACCTATCAAAGTGACAGCTGAGTTCCCTTTACCAGGCCTGCAGAAAATATGTTCTCTTCTCTATCACAGTACAGAGAAAGCCATCCATTTAACCAGAGACATATCTGTAAATATCTAGTGAAGAAATCAATCTGTGGCCCTGGTAGAGGATAGCAGCTAGCTTAACAAGTGTGACTACTGATCGAATAACCCAAAAGTAGAAACTTTTGCCTTACATGCAAGTACTGCAGTGACAGAATGAATACCATAATTTTAACAAATTAAAGAGTACATATAAGGGAGTGTTCAGAATGAGTTATGTCCACCTAGCTATAACTAATACACGCTAACTCCACGGGGACTCTCGCTGAAAGCAATCAGATTAATAAACTAACATGCCTACTCTTGTTTCCAACGTGCTTGGAACATCACCAACTTCTCTGTATTCTACTCAATGTCAGAAAGCGGCATTTCAGACTGTGAATCTGACTGCATTCAGCGGGAGTCCCCGTGGTCTAGCATTTCTGTAATTGACAATACACTCAGAACGTTCCCCAAGACTGCATACTCATAAAGGCCATACATATATGTCAAATTCCCGTAATGTGCATTCTTCATACGTCTCCTCAGTGTTCGGCCTTACATGCCAGGTGTTTATCGCGTAGCATGGAAACAATAAAGTCGAAAACTGTTATTAACTGAGGCCACATACCCGTGTATGTCGCGGCCACTGTAGCACGTGCAGAGCTCAGTGAAACTGACAGCGACAGTCATGTTGAATTCTTGAAACTTCAGGGCACTAACAATTTACAAAATACATCAACACATAAATCCGCACAAACGCCCTCTTCCAATATACTTTAATGCATTTTTGGAAGTTAATTAGAAGAGGCAAATACTCACCACAAATTTTATTCCTGTCTGGAAGGTTAACAACTGAGTGACCTCTGGCGGCAGGTTCACGAATTACCGTGCTGATCATGTGACCTATGGAACTCGCCATTTTGTTTTGTTGGCAGAAGTGAGACAGGTAAATATACCGATAAATGATTTTACTCATGGATCATATATGTAAGTGTTTACATACGTGTTATTTATGCTGATTAGTTGATCAGTACAATTTATGCATAGCTCCATACATACTCACGCACAGATGATTGTTTGTTGTGTGAGACGATAACTTGATTGTTGACTGAAGAAGAGTTTGACACGAAGACGGCCTAAGAGGAAACTCACACAGAGTGGCATGAAAATTGTATGTTTAAAAGAACTTGAAAAGTACTGATGGCCGCCATCGCTGATTATTTCTTTATCTTTGCTTTATTTTAAATCATGAAAGCAATCAAGTCTTGAAATGTTTCAGATTTAACATTTTGCTAAATACTTTCGTCCTGGAATAATCTTACCTGAGTTCAGGTCATGTTCCGCAGCCAAAACCAAGCATTGATGTAGTTACTAATTAACCTTACTTTGGATATTTACTATTGACTAAGAAACATTCTTGGGTGATTACTCAGCAGGATAGAAATCTTTTATCAAAATTGTTTGCAACCAGTAGATTACAGAAAGGGAGGAGTGTATTTTTAAACAATAAACAAAATAAATGATATTATGTACTTTGTAAATTCCTTAATTCTTTAGGTTTTGTTTATTGTAAAAAGGCATTGGAAGTATACAATGCCTGATGTAGTACAACCTAGAATTATATCAAAACTATTGATGTTTGCTTGTTTTTACCTCCTTGAATTTTTAAAAGACACCAGTGCAATTATCCCCATAAATGCAAGAGATGCCCAGTTATTCCTTATCACATATTTGCAGCTCTGAGGTCAGGTTGAGCCTGGACATAAGGCCTAGAATGTATTAGAGTCAATTTTTACAAACTCATGTTCTCAGTGCAGGCTTGTTCTTAACTCTGACTACATACAACTCACTAGTCATCACTGGAACATCCATCATGTGTATACAGTGGAATTTGTTAGATGTCTCAGTTTGCCTAGTCATCTTTTCTCAGTTATAGATTTGCTTCTAGGAAACTAGATTTAGTCATTTTTCATCCTAAATAATAAAACTACTGCCTTGGGACCCTTTCCTGTAAATAGAGCTGAATTATGAACTGTTTAGTGTTACTCTGCTCTTCGTAGCTGTCTGTTCTTGCAGTAGTTGCTGTTTACTTCAGGGTGTTTTTCACCATGACAAACAACAATGTTCTTTCGTCTCTATGAGACACAGTCAATATTTGTAAAAGAAAGTCATCATTGCCTGCTTGCAGTAGGAAGTTCCTTTATTATGGTATATAAAAAGAGGTGAATTGCAATTTTCCAGTAGAGTTTTATTTTGCACAGTGGGTTGCATTATTTATTTGATTACTATTTTAACCCCTGCTTTTATTTTTCAGCTTTCCAATGACATAAATTATAATAATGGCAGCAGTCCTGCCAGAGAATGGAGCAGTTACGCAGAGTGAGGGGGGCTGTGGTGCCCTAGAGAAACCTCCCCCTCACAAAGCAGGCTCCATGTCAGATCCAGATGTTGGAAATGAAGAGGACATTGTTCAGCAGATCAGTATTAATGGCAGTCTAGGGGAACACACAGGGACAGAGTGTGTAGAAAGTTCAGAGACTTGTGACCACAGTGGTGGTACAGAGGGTGCTGAGACAGGTGATAGGAACTCTGTTAATGAAACCATTTCCTCAGATTCAGCAACAGAAACATGCAACGTGGTTAATGAGTCATGTAGTGTTCAGCCAGCATTCCAAGCTGAAGTGCACCAATCCAGCACAGACCAGCATATAGCACACAATACATTAGACAGTAATATAGATAGCTCCCAGGAGGCGGAGGCATTAAAGACCATTGTGAGTGAAGCCATTGGGAATCCAGGGGGTCTAAAGAATATGACTCCAGACCAGGAATCACTTCCTGCTCCTAGTGGAGATGATAAAGGGAGTGATACTAACTCCAAACAACTCTCAGATAGCTCTGTTTCAAAAAGTACAACAGACATACTGTTCACTTCTAGCTGTGATACGCAGGGTGATGGCAGTGACGATGACCATCTCCTGTCTGAGCTGGACCTGGAGTTGGACTTGGATGCATTTGGGACAACCTTGACTAAATCTGTGTTACAAAAAAACACTACTACTAACAGGACAGAGTATGATGCTCTACAAAAACAGTTAAAACTACAAAAAAGTGAAATGAACAGGTTGGTCTATGTATAAGTTTATTTTATATATTTAAGTGTAAACATCTTAATATGTGTGATTTTTTTTTTTCATTCAAAGATAGCTTTACACTTTCAATCTAGACAGTGTATTTTCCTGCTAAACATTGCTTTTGGTATAATATGTGTATGCCCCAATCCATGCAGCTGTGCAGGGATTTCTTTTCTCTAGTAACACCACCATTTATCACTGACCTTTAGGCAATGTTGACTGTAGTGATGTAATTGAATGATATGAGTAAGACCCAGCCATGTATTTACCTGGACTTTGGACTATAAACCAGAGTGGCTGGATCTCAAGATGTACATAGGAGAAATTATAAATCTGTTACATTGATTAATGTGCTATTGAACATGATTTGCACCCATATTGCTAGAAGCAGATATATTTATGATGTTGAAATATTATGAATAAGCAGAAATGAGGTGACACTGATGAAAACTAAGCCATGATTCTGTCTACACTGACAACACATTTCACACATAGCTCTCTTAACTGATCCTTTGTTCAAAATGCTGTTGGTAGACCTGAGGTCATTACATGTATCCAATAAACAATCCTTTGGCCTTGAAATTTTCCCTAGGAGGCACTGGCTACAGTACATAATATCACATAGTTTAACTCTGAGACATGCTACAGTACATAATATCACATAGTTTAACTCTGAGACTTGCTACAGTACNTAGAGTTTTATTTTGCACAGTGGGTTGCATTATTTATTTGATTACTATTTTAACCCCTGCTTTTATTTTTCAGCTTTCCAATGACATAAATTATAATAATGGCAGCAGTCCTGCCAGAGAATGGAGCAGTTACGCAGAGTGAGGGGGGCTGTGGTGCCCTAGAGAAACCTCCCCCTCACAAAGCAGGCTCCATGTCAGATCCAGATGTTGGAAATGAAGAGGACATTGTTCAGCAGATCAGTATTAATGGCAGTCTAGGGGAACACACAGGGACAGAGTGTGTAGAAAGTTCAGAGACTTGTGACCACAGTGGTGGTACAGAGGGTGCTGAGACAGGTGATAGGAACTCTGTTAATGAAACCATTTCCTCAGATTCAGCAACAGAAACATGCAACGTGGTTAATGAGTCATGTAGTGTTCAGCCAGCATTCCAAGCTGAAGTGCACCAATCCAGCACAGACCAGCATATAGCACACAATACATTAGACAGTAATATAGATAGCTCCCAGGAGGCGGAGGCATTAAAGACCATTGTGAGTGAAGCCATTGGGAATCCAGGGGGTCTAAAGAATATGACTCCAGACCAGGAATCACTTCCTGCTCCTAGTGGAGATGATAAAGGGAGTGATACTAACTCCAAACAACTCTCAGATAGCTCTGTTTCAAAAAGTACAACAGACATACTGTTCACTTCTAGCTGTGATACGCAGGGTGATGGCAGTGACGATGACCATCTCCTGTCTGAGCTGGACCTGGAGTTGGACTTGGATGCATTTGGGACAACCTTGACTAAATCTGTGTTACAAAAAAACACTACTACTAACAGGACAGAGTATGATGCTCTACAAAAACAGTTAAAACTACAAAAAAGTGAAATGAACAGGTTGGTCTATGTATAAGTTTATTTTATATATTTAAGTGTAAACATCTTAATATGTGTGATTTTTTTTTTTCATTCAAAGATAGCTTTACACTTTCAATCTAGACAGTGTATTTTCCTGCTAAACATTGCTTTTGGTATAATATGTGTATGCCCCAATCCATGCAGCTGTGCAGGGATTTCTTTTCTCTAGTAACACCACCATTTATCACTGACCTTTAGGCAATGTTGACTGTAGTGATGTAATTGAATGATATGAGTAAGACCCAGCCATGTATTTACCTGGACTTTGGACTATAAACCAGAGTGGCTGGATCTCAAGATGTACATAGGAGAAATTATAAAACTGTTACATTGATTAATGTGCTATTGAATATGATTTGCACCCATATTGCTAGAAGCAGATATATTTATGATGTTGAAATATTATGAATAAGCAGAAATGAGGTGACACTGATGAAAACTAAGCCATGATTCTGTCTACACTGACAACACATTTCACACATAGCTCTCTTAACTGATCCTTTGTTCAAAATGCTGTTGGTAGACCTGAGGTCATTACATGTATCCAATAAACAATCCTTTGGCCTTGAAATTTTCCCTAGGAGGCACTGGCTACAGTACATAATATCACATAGTTTAACTCTGAGACATGCTACAGTACATAATATCACATAGTTTAACTCTGAGACTTGCTACAGTACATAATATCACATAGTTTAACTCTGAGACTTGCTACAGTACATAATATCACATAGTCTAACTCTGAGACTTGCTACAGTACATAATATCACATAGTTTAACTCTGAGACTTGTTACAGTACATAATATCACATAGTTTAACTCTGAGACTTGTTACAGTACATAATATCACATAGTTTAACTCTGAGACTTGTTACAGTACATAATATCACATAGTTTAACTCTGAGACTTGTTACAGTACATAATATCACATAGTTTAACTCTGAGACTTGTTACAGTACATAATATCACATAGTTTAACTCTGAGACTTGTTACAGTACATAATATCACATAGTTTAACTCTGAGACTTGTTACAGTACATAATATCACATAGTTTAACTCTGAGACTTGTTACAGTACATAATATCACATAGTTTAACTCTGAGACTTGTTACAGTACATAATATCACATAGTTTAACTCTGAGACTTGTTACAGTACATAATATCACATAGTTTAACTCTGAGACTTGTTACAGTACATAATATCACATAGTTTAACTCTGAGACTTGTTACAGTACATAATATCACATAGTTTAACTCTGAGACTTGTTACAGTACATAATATCACATAGTTTAACTCTGAGACTTGTTACAGTACATAATATCACATAGTTTAACTCTGAGACTTGTTACAGTACATAATATCACATAGTTTAACTCTGAGACTTGTTACAGTACATAATATCACATAGTTTAACTCTGAGACTTGTTACAGTACATAATATCACATAGTTTAACTCTGAGACTTGTTACAGTACATAATATCACATAGTTTAACTCTAAGACTTGTTACAGTACATAATATCACATAGTTTAACTCTGAGACTTGTTACAGTACATAATACCACATAGTTTAACTCTGAGACTTGCCTACAGTACATGATATCACATAGTGTAACTCAAAGTCTGGCTGTCTTACTGAATAAACGAAAAGAGAGACGATTGGATTTCATGCTTCTGAAAGAGATTCCAGATTAGGTTCTTTTAGAGGGATTAATACAAAGTTCAAAATATTACCAAATGCTAGCATTAGACTAGATTATACCCAACTGGTCTGAAAGAATTTTTTTAACTCATTGTTAAGGGGAGGGCTATCATGTGTTTGGCTTTTATTTTATCAAAATTAACTGTATTTATATGATCCAAAAATTCATTATGTTTGAGTGTACCTGTTAACCATGTAGTAATAGTCAGATATCTCACCAACAAGTGTATCTGATAGCACATTCTTTGTGATATTTACAGTCTCCAGGAGAAATTTTCTAGACAAAAAAGTCAATTGTCCGAGGCCATCAAAGAGAGAGATGCTTACCTCCAAGAAATACGGGAACTCAAATCCAACTCTTCCGAGGACATCTACCTAGCACAGATAAAAGAGGTAACATTGAACAGGGACGAGAATATTTTCATAGAAAATGGATCGCAGAACAAAATACTTTGGGAAACCAAGAATATTTGCATATTAAGATGCATATATGATTTTTTTTTTTTCTTTTTTTTTGATTATACTAAATTTCAATTNTCTAACTCTGAGACTTGCCTACAGTACATGATATCACATAGTGTAACTCAAAGTCTGGCTGTCTTACTGAAAAAACGAAAAGAGAGACGATTGGATTTCATGCTTCTGAAAGAGATTCCAGATTAGGTTCTTTTAGAGGGATTAATACAAAGTTCAAAATATTACCAAATGCTAGCATTAGACTAGATTATACCCAACTGGTCTGAAAGAATTTTTTTAACTCATTGTTAAGGGGAGGGCTATCATGTGTTTGGCTTTTATTTTATCAAAATTAACTGTATTTATATGATCCAAAAATTCATTATGTTTGAGTGTACCTGTTAACCATGTAGTAATAGTCAGATATCTCAGCAACAAGTGTATCTGATAGCACATTCTTTGTGATATTTACAGTCTCCAGGAGAAATTTTCTAGACAAAAAAGTCAATTGTCCGAGGCCATCAAAGAGAGAGATGCTTACCTCCAAGAAATACGGGAACTCAAATCCAACTCTTCCGAGGACATCTACCTAGCACAGATAAAAGAGGTAACATTGAACAGGGACGAGAATATTTTCATAGAAAATGGATCGCAGAACAAAATACTTTGGGAAACCAAGAATATTTGCATATTAAGATGCATATATGATTTTTTTTTTTT